TGATTCCTCCAAGTCTGATCTGTTGTGAGCTGTTGTGAGCTCCCTGCACCCTGGTTCCTTATTTCACATCCTTAGCTACTCTAAGAGTATGCTTCCGAGGTACAGCTCTTCCCTTCGGTTTCAGATGAAACCTGTTCCGCTTGTACAGGTCCCATTTGGTCCAGCAGGACACATATAGGACTCATAAACGCCTCTCTCCTGTAGCCAGGTGTTAAATCTCCATATTTCTCTTGCTTCCCTTGGCTTGCGCAGATCGCCACAGACATTCTGCCCCCGAGCTTATGGGCTAAATCCAGAAAGTTGTCTTGCAGAATCTCTGACTCAACGTTTTCTGTGTCATTTATTCCTACGTGGACCATAGCGATTAGATCCACCCACAGGCCCTGGCTAGCAGCCTGTCTGGGCATCAGGCAGGCTGCACAGTGTCCGAGACACCCTTGTGCACCCTGTGTTGATTGTGTTAGGCTGCGGTTCTTGAGGGTTTTTGGGGAATAATAAGCCGAGCACAAGCGCAGGTTCACAGAGGAGCCTCAGGTGTTTTGGGAAGGCCTGGTGGGAACGAGGCTTAACGAGAGACGATGAAGGAATAATGCAGGCTGATAGAGCATGGAGCTGTCTGAATTATTATGGAGCAGAAAAAAGGCCGCCTTGATGCAGCGGAGAGGCTGGCTTGATTACCGCTGTACCGGGAAAAGGCTGCACGGCAGGGAAGCTGGCTGGAAGGAAGCTGTCTGAACAACGCGAAGGCTTCCAGCTTAATGGGACTGTCTGGAAATGGCGGCAGAGAAGGCTGGGGAGTCAGAGCTTTGGAGAGACCAAAAGAAAAAGGGTAGAAAAACGAATGAGCCGAGAAAAAATGCAGCGAGGGCAGAATGAGCCCACGGATTCACTGCTCGTGATTCAAGGGAAAAAAGGTGTATGGTGGGAGAGCCTTTCAGTCCTGCAAAGCTTAGCACTGATCGCTTAGCTCAATGTTGGAGAAGCAGGGGGAAAAGCCTTTGACCGTCTGCTCAATTGCCTGATTGAGGTTAGGGGGATTCGCCTGCTGAAAAAATGAGGGACCTTTGGGAGATGCATCCTGAGCGAGTTCTCCCGAGGTCGGAAGGAGGCTGAGGGTTTGCAAATGTACTGGTTGCCCAAGGCAACATCTGGGCACAGATTACACTCCTGGGTCTCCCACTATCACCACTTCACTGATATTTGGTAAAGTGGTCTCTGAGTGCCCGGGAGATTCGCTGTCCCAGCTCCCCATTTGAGGTCAGGCTGAAGCTGTCTCTGCCTCTGTGGTCTGAAGTTTTCCCTAATGCATGGAGTTAACACAGCCCTCTAAAGGGCTTTACTTCATGTATGTATTTATTATTCATTTTCACAGGGCACCTCCCACCCATGTAGTAATGTAGTCCTTCATTTCTGGGCTCTGACTTCAAAAAACTATAAATGCTGGGTTTTAGTCTTAAATATTTAGGAGAGCTATCATGCTTTTTCAATGGACTAGTGGGAAAAGTGGGTTAATCCTGTCCCCCCCCCCACACACACCCCACCCCCACCCTGGAGCACAAACATCTGCAACGCTTTTAATAAAATGATTCATCTATTCCCAAAGAACTGCAGTAAAGGGATTGTCCTCCATCCTGTGTTCTGGGATGCCCAGTAGGCACATGATTCTGTGGGCTGCAGTTTCAGCATGTGAAGAAACGGCCTGTTTAGACACTCTCCGTTTCAAATCCCCTGCTCTGATGAAAGAAAGGGAAACACACTTTTTAATTAGCCTCCGATGGCGTAGGCTTATCCTACTTGACTTTGAGCCTTTTCCTTGACAGACTGTAGGCTGGTAAGGGGAGTTAATTAAGGATTTTATACAGAAGTTTCTCCTTTTCTGTGAGATGGTGGGCAACACTGTAATCTTTCCAATGGTTGTTTGAAATTTTGCATCGATCTTGCTTTGGAGGTTTGTGGACAGACACTTTAGTAGTATTTAGTAATTAGTTGTATGCTATTTGTGATAGGGCATAGGGGTGGCACCCCCATTGGTTAGCATTGCTGTCTCACTGGGGACATGAATTCAATTCTGGATCTGGGGAACTATCTGTGTGGAGTTTGTATGTTCTCCCTGTGTTTGTGTGGGTTTCTTCCAGGCCCTCCGGTTTCCCCCTAGCCCCCCCCCCCCCCCCCCACCCCCACAGTCCA